ATCTCGGGCCTTCTTCTCGTGGTGATGATAGTTTAGCCGATGGTATCAATTTCTTCTTCTTTGTAATTTTAATACCAGGGCTTACGCCTACAAGTGAGAAGCACACATGACACCTTTAGTTTAGAGCAAGAACGGAACACGGAAATGGGGCCGGACTCGCTCGCTGGATTCCGTGCCGACCGGTTGTGCCCTCGTGATCTCCGACGTCAGCGTAGCTCTGGCCGACTGGGCTCGCCCTACGTCATCTCCTGACGCCGACCTCCGACGACAGTGTAGCTATGACCGACTGGATTTGCTCTACGCCACCTCCTGATGCCAACAAGAGCTCTCGTAAACTTGCTCTACGTCATCTCCTAACGCCGACAAGAACTCTAGCATGTGGAGCTCCGTCCTCGGACTCCTGTGACCATGTTTCCATCTTTCCTATCTCTCCTATTCCCTCGATATGTCGTTGCTCTCTGACATACTTGTTCTCTCTTTCTACACCTTTATTCCTATCCTTTTAATCCCTCCTCACCCCCATCCCTTGTGAGCTATTCTTGAGGTGTCGCTCGCTGAAGCAGACAGTTACGGGGCTCACTTTTCTCGTCCTTTCTCTCTTAGAACCACTTTGGGAAATGGGGCCATTGGAACGACTTAGAAATATATGTAGTACGGACACACGTACCTTCGGGTCACGAAGAAAACGGATGTCGAGATGAGATTGACGAACGACACGTTCTCTTTTCGTTCTTTTATTGTCCTTAGGGAACAAGAACACTCGCAACTTCAGTCCCTTGGCCATGACAATTCGCAACGCAGCATCGCCAAACCAATCGGATTACAGCCGTACAGATTGTGAATATCCAGCGCACAAAACACATCCCATATCCACACTGCAGTTCACAGACACAGAAAAAGACGGTCTTCTCGAGTCGCCAACAAGCACACCAGTACGCCACGAAAACGTTTGTCGGGCTTGACAATCCTCGTCTGTCGAGCGACGAGAGCGTAGGCACGTCTGTGCAGCGAAATGCACCGGTAAAATGGAGTGACGTCAGAGCCCTTGGCAGACACAGTGAGCAGGCCCCATCGCCGCAAGGTGTGACGTCAGACAAATGTTGAGCCTTATCGGTGCTGATAAGGGCCTCAACTTTTTTTTTCATTGCTTTTTAGCCCTGATGCGGTGTAGCCACTGCATCAGGGGAACTTCTAAATCAGAAATAACAAACAGCACGCCCATCGCTGCAAGGTGTGACGTCATACAAAAGTTGAGCCTTATCGGTGGTGATAAGGGCCTCAGCTTTTTCGACGGCTTTTAGAAGAATTATCGCAGGTAAGCCAACGCATCAGGGGAACATTTAGTTTGGAAAGAGCGCACAACAGGCGGCCATCGCCGCAATTGAGGTGTGACGACTAAAGTTCAGCCTTATCGGTGGTGATAGGGGCCTCAACTTTTTCGACAGATTTAGGACCTTCATTGCAGGGAAGCCAACGTATCAGAAAAACATTAATTTGTGACGTTACGTTTTGAAGCTCTGTAGCGCTCCATCTATTGGCAACTTGTCGGAGCGAGAACCCCGGGCCACGGCCGGGCGTCACTGTCCCACGTCGCCAAGTTGCCACCAGGTGGAGCGCGACAAAACTTCAGAAAAATATAGTTTCAGGGACTCTAACAAATTCAGGCTTCAAATAGAGATGCCATCTGGATTCGAACCACCTACCTACCGGTTAAGAAACGAACACGTAACCTCCCAGCCACTGTCACATGCTGACGTTCCAGCTACAATGTTAGGCTGAAAGTTCACCTTTTAAAGATCTGCTGAAACTGAGAACCACATATGACCTTAAATAAGATTCAAATAACTTCACATGGATGGGCAAATCGATGCATAACTATCACTCTTACCGGCACTCGCCACTGGCACTCCGTTCCCGCAGCAAATAAAAAGCGTCGACTGAACAGTTTAACTTATGAGTGAGCATCATAGCAGGCCTGGTAAAAAAAATTCTCACGACATCACTGTGCGTGCAGGGAAACGCCAGCCAAACCACACGAAAAATATATCTTCAGTGCCAGAAACATTAGTGCGGTTATTACTGAACCTAAGCTTTAAAAAAAAAACTAATCTATAGAAACCAAAATGGACGCGAACCCACAGACCTTTATAGCACGAAAAGTCACGGAAGTTTACGATACTCTCTCATCCAAATTCTGGGCACAGCTTTGGGTTGAGGCAACACCAACTATGTTTGAACTTCTGGCTACCGGCAGTTGTACAGGTTGTAACATTCGTTACATATTGCCACAGAAATTGTCCGTGCTCGAGTGCTATGCACAGCACTCTGTGCATTGCAGGCGAGGCGTCACGAACCAAGAGAAACTCCGACATCTCCGTTACGACAAACGAAAACACTCGCCGAGCACCTGCCAGCCTTGCATGCGGACGAGCTGCGACCGAAGGGCCAGCGCGCGTGAAAAAGGAAGAAAGCGATGGTAAAGGCCAGTGGCTCCTGATATCGACAGACTTGGCGTTTCGTGTTTCTCGTCTTCGTTCGCTCTATCGGTTACGCCGACGACGCCGGTCGACGTAGGAACCCTTAGGATGGTGAAACGCTAAAAGAAAACGCAGTCTTCTGAAGAACACGTACAGGACAGGCTTATAATAACACGCCAAACTGGCGATTATTCTAAACGCGAGGAAAGGGTGCCTAAAAGCTGCGCTCTAAATGTACAGGGATCAGTGATGACAGCGCATAGCGTAGAACGTCGTGCACTGGAATCGGCGTAAACAATTAACTGCAAAAGTCAGTTTCTGAGGGTGATTTGAACACGCCTATTTCTCGCCATATTCTTCAATAAACTTGTATAACAACGTTCTTGCACTACTTCGCTTTCGCGATTCCTTTCCCATTGCAAGATCTCACGAATTAACAGAGCGTACATAGCCGCTAGCTGGGCGGCCGTGGCGCAGAAAGCATAAATATGGCGGACGCCGCCGGAGCGGAGGCGTGGCGTTGACGTGGCCGACGTCATCGCCGCGCCGCGGCGCCACTGCCCCGCCCTTTCACCAGACACTCTGCATGTACGGTTCTATAACACAACCTTTTTCGCATCGTCTCGCGGCGAGCAGAACAACCATTCATTGCTTATATGCAACCAGCGGCAAGACTACAACCATCTCCCTCCCTGTTCAAGTCGACAACGCAAGAGGCCGATAATCGCCTTAAAGAGGGGGTAGCATCTGGCCGCTGGTTCTATATTGTCACGCGCTAGGAGCACGAAGAAACGTACAAGGAGATGCCACTGACTGACAAAATCTGAGACACAAAGAAGGACGTCTCCTCTGGCACGGGTTGCTCGTCTTCGTCTTCTTCGTTTACTGGCACAGAACTGGCTCACTGTTCGCTGGCACAGAACACTAGGTGGCAATACGATCAATGACTGCTTCTTTTGCTCGACGAGAGATGACGCGAAAAAAAGGCTGTGGTTGCTCCCGCTTGAGCGCACTGCCAGCAGCGGCCCTGGATCCCAAGATCCCCTGGATCCCAAGATCCCCCGGATCCAAAGATCAGGGGGTTTTAAGCGGCCCGCCAGATAGGGTTCCTCGATGCGCGCGCTCCCCGATGGACATCTACAGTGTCAATTTTTATGAGAGGGAACACGGGAGCGCATAACCTGCGTGCTCCCGTGTTCCCTCTCATAAAAATTGACACTGAAGATGTTCATCGGGCGTCAGCTAGAACACGTGATTATCATAATGACTTCATGGTTTAAAGCCGGCCACCCACTACAAAAGGCACGCACATACTACGTCACTACACCTATTGCTTTAAACCACGCGCATGATTACACGTAGTTTACAGCATGCTACGAACAGAATAAATGCAGTCGTACATGCGAAAGCTTGACACAATGTCGCTTTCCACTTTATAGATTACTTTATCTATCCACAAGTTAAACTTCTCGAGTAACTTGATAAAATAAAAGGTATGCACAACATGTTTGAAGTACGCACTGGGGACAGTTCAACTCTTACAGGCGAAGCTTAAGGGTACCCCAATTTTTTTTTAAAACAAATCAGATTCGTTGTGTCAAAGATGGTACGGTTTGTTAATTAATTCAAGAAACTTGCAAAGCCGTACTGTTCGTTTCTTGCTAACCAGTTAACCATGAGGCTTGTACAGTTAAACACTGCACAGTTGATCACGAGGGTGCGACTCCGTAGTGCGACCAGAGTGTCGTCTACTAACAATCTTTCACAGGGCGCTCATGAATTCTGCTAGGCGACGTGACAGTCTATATTATTACGGCTTGGTGGTGCTAGCCACCTGCCCGATCTAGAGGGTACAGCCATATCCATCCATCCATCCATCCATCCATTGCAAATAGCATTGAATTAGTGTACTAACTATATGGGAAAAGCTTCTCATAGAGCCTATGCATTAAAGCCTTTAACCAAATCGACATCCATGTTGCGTGGGATCTGATGAATTTTTCTGTTTCATGGTTCTATGGAATTCGGCTATCTAAAACACTATTTCAATAAAATTGTCTCTGGCAATATTTCTGACCAATTTGGAAATCTATTATTAGTTTAAGAAAGTCGAAATCTCGAAAATTTCCTTATTAAGCCTCTGGAAGTCTTGCAGGTTTCGTCTTTCAGAAGTTTCATTGCATTTTAATAAAATCGATTCTCACAATACTCCTGACCAGAAGGCATGCCTATAGCTCTTCGAAGTCTTGTAGGTTTTGACTTTCGGAAGTTGCACAAGGTTTTGCAAAAATGATTATGGGTACTTCCGACCAAAAAGAAAAGTGCATAGGCTTTCAAAATCTTGCAGGTTCCGACTTTCGAAAGTTTCATACAGTTTTAATACATTGATTGTGGCGGTTTCTCTTACTGAAAAGGCAATCCTCGTCAGAGTTTCGATCAACTTTCATTCCATTCTGATAAAACTGATAGTGGGAGGGCTTCCGACTGAAGCACAGCATGCACACAGAAGACGAGAAGCCAGTACAGTATGTTCAAACACTGTTTTTTATTCATTACAGCCAGAAAAAAATAATAAAGTCATCCAATTTGCAGGCGAGCGACGATATGTGGTTTTCACCATGTTCCACAAGTGTGTATGGGCACATTTAACCCCCTATAACCCAGGCCAGTACGTTTCGCACTCAGAGAGAAAGAGAAAAAAAAAATTTCACACACTGCTGTTTCGAAACAAGAACAGGCTTTAGTTTCTTGTTCAGCTGGTAACACACAACCTAGAGCGATGCAGAGTCATGTATAAATACGATCGAGACAAGAGAGTTCAAGTGCGTGTTGTTCAGCTTTCCTGACATAAGCAAAAGCTTGTGCAGTGCGTCGTTCAAAAAAGAAGAAAAGAAACGTCTCCAGTCCTCTCGGGTATACGAATTAGTTCTGAACTTGGCAACAGCCACATAGCAATGAGGCAGTCTGAAAAAAGTACACTGTCTACATTTGGCACCTCGCAGTCGTGGAGCACATACAACACGTTAAGAAACACGCACACACAAACAGGTTACGCACATCCGGCACTCAGCGTACGGGCCTTCGACAAACTGCGACTCGACGCACTATGGACATCCCGTTTTTCGTCGACCTAATCCCTTGACCACACTGAGAAACCTACCAAAGTATGAAATCTGTCTAGAAACAAATTTCAACGTCCTGTATATGTCAAGAAAAAGAACGAAGATCCTATGGCCGTCTGACTGACACACCGATCCCCAATGTTCATTAGCAAACATTACCTAGAAGACAACCCTTCTTTACTGAACTGCTGACGTAACGTCAATGCTCGACATGGGTGTACCACGGAAACGCGAAGAGCACCTTGAGTAGTTCATGGTCTTGGCCATTGCATCAGCCAGATCTCATCGATTCAAGTTGCAGCTTGTAGTGTAAGGCGTGCTTCTGAATGTGAGGGTCAAGCCGCAGCCACGTCCGAGTCCAGTCAAAACTGAAACAATACTGGCTACAGAATTGCATAGTTGGCACAAATGGACAAGTCTTATGAATATTTAGTGTATAGTTTGACACTTCTCATCTCTCACAGATGTACCTTGCATCACTTCGTAGGTGAGTGCCGATAACGTGGTTCAAATGCACGAAGCTCGCAGGTCCAACATGCGCAAGTGTGAATTTCAAGGCAAACGAAAACCTTTTGGTGCTTAGACTAATTTCACAATTGACGAACTGTCTCAATACTAGGCCTTCATTGTGTGGATACGTCTATTTCCTGCTAGCATGTCGAGAACATTCCGCAACTTTCAATCTCCAGATTATTCCTTGCATAATAAAGGTTGCTCTTGAAAAACTTTTGAATGGGAATAAAAAGAAAATCTGCACAGTCACCACACAAACACGCGCTTACAAAGAAACATACCGAGAAGTACGACGTACACACTAACACACACATACACAACGCACAACCAGCCTGGCAGCATCGGCGCCCCGCATCACTGACACAAACCCCCCAAAGAACAAAAAATCATTAGTATGTAATCTATAGAAACACAAGGATCTATAGAACTGCATTCGTGGGCGACGAAAAAAAAATCTAGATGCGAGATGACGACGTGGTGGGTTCTACGGAGGATTGCCCGACAATCGCTTCAAGACCTAGGCACTGACGGCTGATGACAGGTACGACACGCAACGACACCTCGCCGCCGCCACACCGACGCCACTTCTCACTTCTCGTTATTACCTTTCCTTAATCTCCTTTCCGACATTTTAAATATATGTGAAGTCTCTAGACTAGCTCTGGGAGATTATGACACCCATAGAAAAACTTTTTGATAGAGATAGATAAAGAAATACGAGAAACAGTTGGGAACTGAAGAAAAGCTATTGTTTCCAAGATGAAAACAAAAGTGACAAGGACAATCTGTTACTTTTTCACTTTAAGCCGACGAGAAAAGTGACAATGGAAGTCCAAAGCAGACATTGAAAGAGAAGCAAGGAGTGCTTGAGCAAGATAGAAGTTCCGATTCCGCCCCGTTTTTGCGTTTTGTCGCAGAAACCTTCAGGACGACGTCAAGACTACAATGGATCCTCTGAACGTTTCAAGCGCCAGTAGAACTGAATAGTGCCAAAGCACTGACGCCTAAGATAAAGCACTGCAGCACTAGATTTGAAACAAACTAAGCGTTGGAAACTGTGACGAGTTTCAGTTTCAACCCCGATGTACGGACAAAAAAGAAGAAAGAAAACACAGACACATTTGATACAGCTGTGCAAGCAATGGCAGAAAGGCTGACAGCAGCTCGGGAAGGGGTTGATATGATGTCACTCGTTTTGCACTAACGAGCTGATATTTATAACGGGACGCTGCTGGGTTTTGTTATTTTGTTAATTAGCACCTCGAGGTAGCATGCTCCCGACTCACATGCTATGCTGGCAGTACGAAAATTGGTTACGACGACTACTCCTTGGGCTTGTGGCCATAGAGTCGGCAGCCGCGTACGGTATAGAAAAATGTTTGGGCTTGGTCGGGAAGACTGAGGAGAGGTGCGCGTTTTCTTTTTTTTTACATCGTTTTTCGAGTGACTGGTATATATGCGAGGCTGTGAATTTTGTCTACGTGAAACAAGATGCTGCTGCCGCACACATCTGAACAAAAGTGAGAAGAAAGTGTAAAGCCTACTTTGAGATACGGCCTGTGCCAAACGAAGACTGCTACAAGTCTTAGGGGCAATGCAGAAGCTTGTCGTTTCACACATTTTGAATGTTATCTTTTACACTCGGGCTCACAACCTCGTAAATGCCGCAAAAGCTTTGGGCTTTGGCGAGATAAAGTTCGCTACGCCGAAAATATCCTCAGAATATAAAGTAAAAAGATGATCAAAAGGTGACAACAGGCGTACAGAAGCCTAATTTTTTTTCTCCTGCATTATTCGATTCTCCAGACCTGTCCGAATGCGACGCCAGAATATTGTGCCAACGCCGCTGTAGACTTTCGATTTCAGTGACTTAGTTTCAAGCAAAGCATCAGAATTACACCGGTGTCGTCGGAGACTCATTCCACGCCGAGATTTTTACCGTCGGTTTCCAAGTAAGCATGCCTTTACAAAACCTGAGCCCATAGCTTGCACTGCAGCACTAAAACGAACTGCGCACTCGAAAGACGAGGCACGGCAGGAGCAGGGATGGCAATAACCGCCTCAAAAATTTTCGACCTCATGCCTCAACGATTTGGCCTTCATGTTGGACTACAGGCTTCCGATAAGATAGAGGTTCCATCTCGTCATTGCATTTCACACTTTTGAACTGGCACCACCGATGACCCAGTGCAAACCTAAGACCTGCCATGGGGCAATACGATAGAAAGACAGGCCAAGAAATGAAATAACGTAGCAGAGGGACTACGCGGTCACGGTAAGAAACCAGCTCCCAGCCACTAACACTGCCTCGTAGCTGGCTTCCCGGCTGGACCTCCTATTGACAACAGTTGGCTCATGGCCAGCCTCGGACCGACTTGTTCCACATCTTTTCTGCACTGCCCCCTGCCACGAGCTTCCTTCCCACAGTACTCGCAGGAGTGGGGGAGGAAAAAAAAGTAATTTTCTTTCCTTTTCCTAGTCGTCTTTTCTTTCTTTTTTTCGTCAACAGAGAGAAAAGAAAAAAATAAATAACAAAGCGAAAACTTGCGACAAGTTCTCTAGAGATCGCTCTCCCCGTACAGCGCCGTTGAAAATGACATGTAGTCCAGCGCTCCGGGGACAGAGCCGTGTCCCTTGTAAGCGGCCATGCGTCGGATGCAGTACTCCGCCTGGTCCGGTGGAAGTTCACGGCGAAGCTTCCTCTGCGGTGATGTATGGCTGGGGGAGGGAGGGGGGGAAGGCAAAAACGTCTCAACTACTGAACCAACCGTCATAGATATGACCACACTAGTATCTATGTGAACATGTGTGCACTTGTTGTGGCAAGAAAGCTCGAAAAGAAAATTGTCAGCTTTAAACGGGCCTGACCGTGGTCACTGTACAACCCACCGTTTACTGTTTCAACTGACAGTAGAGAGTGTAATATAGTAAGCCACAAACTGGGCCCCAAGTGGGCATTTTACCTCCGTAATTTCAGTCTGAGCACTGTCTCTGACATCTTCTAACAGACAAATCCACCATTTTAGTGTTACAACTGGCCCAATTCGCCACTTTTACTTGAATAAGCAGACGTTCGGTCAACTTCTTTGAAAACGTGTGGCGCCGAATTGCAGCAACTCGCGTCACGTGGCATACCAGTTTCTTTGTACAGTCATGGACAAAATTTTGCAAGATAGCAGAGCGCTGTTCGTAGCCACCTCTAAGGCCCTAGATGGGGGAGTGCGCACGTCAAGGCTGCACAGGATGCTTACTTAAGCAGGTGCACGTCCCATATTCAATCAAATCAGCAATTGGCGGTGAGCAATTGTAGGATGTGCACGCACTCGGTAATCATTTAGCGTAGCCTCGATGAATGCAGCCTTCAAACAGTGCTCTGGCCTCTTGCAAACTTTTATCCTTGCCTGTACGTCTAAACACTTCCGTCAAACCTTCGGCTGCAAGTCATGATTGCTTGTTTGTGCTGCTGTTTCTATCTAGCTTTGTTTTTATCTTATGTTGCAGCCATTTAAATCCTTTATCGATATACTCTGTAGTAAGCAAATTGTTCTGTTCATATTTCGTTGAGTGTTTTTACTCTGCTTAGAGCTGCTTTAGTCACCAATCCGTAAAGTTGACTGCGGGGAAGCTCACCTTGTCACCGGCCAGAATCCTGAACGAGTCTATGATCTGCTCAGCCGTGTCTCGGTCGGTGCTCTCCCGAGTCATGAAGTCCAGGAAGGCATCGAAGTGACGTAGCCCGTGTTGTTCGGGTCCACAATGTTCATGATGCGCCTGAAGTCAGCGTCACCCTGGTAAACAACAAATAGGCGACATTAAAAGATAGCGCATGGAAAAAGACTTCAACACTTTACTTCAATTAAGTCAATGAAGTGAAGAAAGCTACACTTCAATTCGTACAGCTGCTTAAGATTAGCTCAACACTGTATTCATAAAAAAGAAATCAAGTACAGCTGATTTGAATTGAAAAACACACCCATGAATGATTGCATTTGCATTATTTCAAAGGAACCTCTGGCATTTCAAAAGAACACAAGTGTGGTGGCATCATGGTCGCAAAGCGGCGGCCAGACGCCCTTCTCATCTTTTCAGGGAAATCTTAGTGAAATGCGTGCGGGAAAGGAAAATGGTGCAAGGGTGCACGGCCGAGCAATAGTGGCTGCACAGTCCCTGAAATAAAGTTACTTATTTGTCGTTCAGGAACGCACTACTCGGTTCTCCGTGCTGTTTTACAGCCGTCCTCGTGCCCCGCACAATACAAGCATTTGTGAATGAATTCCAGGAACTGTGATGAGGTGAGAAATCTGTGATTGTCGCGATAATCAGCCGAGACATATATTGTGCGAGGCTGGCGTGCAATTAAATATGCAATTTTTTCCCCTCAATGCAGCTTTGTGGCAACTCATATCACCCTGAAGCTGCATTCTAAAGAAGAATTTTCACTGACATATGACACATAAACTTGCACCTACGCAACTCAAATGTGCATATGAAATTTAGAAAAAAACTTTTTGCTGTTATGCATCTCAAAGATGCATACATATGACACCAAGTAAACATTTAGCGGCTACGCATCTTGGAGGCACATGCGATTTAAGGTGAAGTTCTTACAGTTATGCATCTCGAAGGCACATTAGAGAAATAGTAAACTTTATGCTGTTGTGCATCTCAGAGGTGCATCTTGAAAGCTTCAGGCAAGAATCTTTATGGATCTTAAACTACACACATTTCGCCATGTCGAGATTCAATTCCAGTATTTAGCACACAGCACCAGATAACGACCGAATGAGAACAGACGAAGACAGGCACTGTCTGCATCAGCTGTCTCTCAGCCCTTATGCACTGTATATGGAAATACTCTTCTGACCAGCACATGCTATCACTAATTGTTTTTTAAAAAATTTTAAACAAGAAAGAACGGGAGACACCACCCCACCTGGCGGTCGTTGCGGATGCTGTAGCCGAGGCTGACGAGGCACGACTTGAACTCATCCGGCGTCAGCCGGCCCGTGCGGTTCTTGTCGAAGTGGTTGAAGGACATGCGGAACTCGTTTAGCTGCTCCTGGGTGATGCCCTTGGAGTCGCGCGTCAGGATCTGGTTCTCGACCTCGTTGATGTTGCGGTGGATGGAGGTCATGAGCTGCTCCCAGCCGACGCGCAGGGTCTCCATCGTGTAGTGCGTGTACCGGTTCTCGAAGATCATCGCCTCTTGCACCTCCTGGTGGGTGCGCTCCAGTTCCTCCAGGTGGGGCCTGTACTGCGCCGCCGCCTGCTCGTACTGCTGCAGCCGCTTCAGCTGCTCCTCCAGTGAACCCTGCAGTCGGCGAACACGTGCGGAGATTTTTCCCTTGCCAGTTCATTTATCAGTGCAGTGAAGTGATATTCTAGAGTTGCCATATTTATTAAGATCGTGACACAAGCTTTTCGCTAGGTGTTTTTTTTATATATACCCGAGGTCGACCACCGTGCTACGCTCGAAAACCGTAAGTTCTGGATGTCTGGAGACTGCAGTGATGCATCTCTTAAGGAACAGCTACAGTTTTGAACAAAAATGGGGATTCCTTCTTTTGTCTAGTCTTTGGGTCCTTTGAAATTCTTCCTTGACTTCGTTAGCTGCTGGTTTTCACCTGAAGCTATATTATTGGCCATTACAATACAGTGTTGGTTGCCTGCTCTTTTTTTGTTTTTATTTCGCAATCTATGTGGACAACATGCGCCATCCAAATGCCATTTGAATCCGCTACAAGATAAAAAAGCATACTGTTCCTTATACATTTGCGCACGATGCCTGAAAGGCCGTCCTTTTTTTTTCTTCTTCTTTCTGAGGTGATGGTATAGACGGTAACACAGTGATGTTAATGTGGTCAGGTTACAGTAGAGTAGTAAATGCTGTTTTTGTTGCTGCCTGCAACAAAGGTTCGAAGGCTCTGTTTTGCGGTGCCCGAGTCGTAATCTTTGCACCCACCTGCATACCCATGCCAAGAGCCGCCACAGCATCCATCTGCCTCTCGATCCAGGGACCGACAACGTTGGCTTTCTCGGCGAACTTGCGGCGCAGGCGCTCATTGGCTGAATGTTAGTCAAGGAAAGTGCTGTGGGCACCAGGGTGCACTTGTAACCATACAAAACATCCCTGCAATGTTTACTTTTGGTTGATTGATTGATTGATAGATTAAGTGATTATGATTGCATTATAAGCAATCAAAAAGAGACCCAATGTCTAGACTACTGTAGCACATAGCAGAGGAGTGTTCCAGATTTATTACAAATCTGTTGGGCTTTTTAAAAGCAACGAATGGCAACACAAAGTGTACCACAGTAGCACATAAATCTAGCCCTATGCCTTCACTAAGTAGAAACGTAAGCTGGGAAAGTTGGCATGAACCCATGAAAAATTTTCATTTAAAGTATTGGCACAATAGAAAAAAAATATCAATGATTTTCACCACAAAAATACAAGTGCTTATATTCATGTGCTGAAAGTCTTTTCGTGCGTTTTTTTTCTCTGTCACATTTATAGCCTTCCCAACATTGGTCCACAACGGTTGCACGTTGTGTCGCTATCTAGGGTTCAACAGAGGGCCAACAACATTAAGTACGGCCTTATTCATGGTTTTGACCTATGCCCATTTTATTTATCTATTTATTTATTCATTCCCTTACGAAAAATAGCTTTCAGGACCCAGGGGCACTCAATAAGGGGGGAAGCCAGAAGTAAACTCATTGTGACGAACAATGTTACAGTGCAGGTTAATAAGATTTAATAACAAAATACTTCATAAAATTTAAAATGCAATCAGTCATAGTAATTCAACGGCACACGAAGAGCAGATTATAGCACTTTAACCAAAAGAAGTGTCACCTTTCTTTCTTCTCTATGGACGCGAGCCTTTCTATACAATCGACACCCTACTACCCTACCGTCCTGATGCTTCCGAGTGCCCACCTGTCTCCGATGCTTCTCGACAAGCCGAAGAGTGCCGCCAGCTCGCCCGTGCGTTCACCTCAAAAGAGCAGCAACGCCAGAAAGAACACCGTAGCACCCCCCTTTCAGATCCCAGCTATGCCCCAGGGTCTCTTGTGTGGCTCGCAATTCCACATCAAACACCGGGACTCTCCTCGAAACTTGTCTCCCGGTAAGAGGGGCCTTACACCGTTTTGGAGAAAACCTCTCCCAGTCAATTTCCTAATTGAGCCAGTTTCCATATCGGACGACATGCGCCGGCGCGCACGTGACATCGTCCATGTTTCCCGACTGAAACCATACCATGAGCCTCTGCCTGAAACTTCTTAAGTCGCCAGGATGGCTCGTTTTTCAGCGGGGGCGATTGTAAAGAAGATGTGCCTGCAGCGAGCAGCATCGCCAACGCCCGGCTCTCTCGGCTCGTGCTTTGGCTCGTTGCTGTGCTGATCTCTGCTGGACGGTTCTTCACGCTGTCTTGCCGTTGTCGTTATCGACTAATAAACCTTGTCACAATATAAGCATACATGAACGTAGGAATTTTGCTTTGAGCCCTTGTATTAGCACAAAACAAAAGGATACATTGTTGCCTCATGAGCTCAGCCTGGAGGACTTGGTCCCTCTTGGGCACCAGCTGCTTCACGTCGGACCACTTTGCTTGTGATCACCTGTGACAAGGCAAAGACACGAGTCAACTTAACAGCCCAAACAGAAATTCAGCACAAGTTTCTTGACAACTTCAATCCAACATATCTCTCAGATTGCTTCGCACATTGTTGTCGCTAAATAGACCCTTCCTAGGTCTCTCCCAGCAAGAACTCCAAGATTGTGACACTTTGGTAAGTATTTCATCCATACATTTAACAGTTATTTCTCAGAATTCATCTACGCATTTATTTTTGTAGTTGGCTATTAACCAGCAAGTTGATTGTCACAAAGGTCACGCACTGTTCATTAGCAGAAATAAGAAGCAGTAAAATCCCAAACACCATCAAAAATAAATAAAAGATGAATCGGCTTTGCTACGCAAGCCTTGTTCCCATTAATGGGCTGAAGGCAAGCGACAGAAATGGGAACACCGACCTGAGAGGTGAGAGTGGTGTAGGGGTTCTCGACACCGCCGGGCACCTGGTACTGACTGGCGATGGCCTGCACCTCCTGCGCCAGCCCAATGATGGCCTTGTGCTCCTTGTCAGCCTCACCCAGGGTCTGCTTGAACTGCTCGTGGGCGTCCATCAGGCCCTGCAGGGAAACGAGTATCGAGGTTAGAAGCAGCTGCCTGCAAGAACTGACGATGCAAATTTTTTTATATGGAGATGGTTTACATGCCAAAAATCCCATATCGAGTTAGGGAGCCTTTGGGCAGTTGGGGAGCCTTTGGATGAATTTTCAGACCATAAACTAGAGGGAGGGGGGGGATTAACGTGCATCTCAGTCTAGTACGTAGACATTTTTGCATTTTGCCACCGCTGTCTTTCTTATTCCATGTTCAGGAGAGTACAGCCTTAGCCACAAAGCTGACAAGGTGGGTGCTGATCAGGCTGAGTGACACGGAAGTTTGCTAGAGTTTGGACAAGAAACGGTACATGATCTCGTTGGTTTTGGTCACTCATTCTTATGTTCATCACTTAAGGCCAATATATATAAACAGCCGTGGAATGACATAATGTTACAGCGTCCTTGCTATGTTGATGACCGAGTGTCATTGGTCCTTCAACCGTCGTATAATTCGGGTGTCATGAAAAAAACCAAGATAATGGCCACTGACACTCAGCCTCGACCAGAAAACGGGTACAGACGACCTGAATAAACTCTCGGCACGACCTTATGCCTCTGCAAGGAAGGTAGATTAAATTATTCTTGACAGTGGCAACTAACGGCAGCATTACATAGCTGGAGAAAGTGTGAGCGAGTTTCTATTTTCAACATTAAAAAATTGAATACAACGTGCATCTTCCTACCGATAAACAGCCTCGAAATCGCCTGCATGTGAAAACAAAATCGAAACCTCGTTGCCAACAGCCTCCCGTCAGAAGAGTCAAAGTGTCATCGCTATCACATAATGGTAAGGAAACCCTGAGTTTGCATTGAATGCCTTCGTGCTCAACTGAGCTGTGCACTATTGTAATTTGCTAGCTTGTGAAGTGCAACTAGGTGATGTCTCATTGTTATTATGAAGGGTGACGTCAAGTGAAAGTAATTTTACACGGTGAAAAACTGCTGCGCCCCACCCTCATGCCTGCGCAAGCCTGTGACTGCGAGTGCACCAAAGGCAGGAGATCGGTTGTATGTCGACTAAGAAAAGTTTCCATGGTCCAAATATGTGAAAATGTCAGCTTTTCGACTGGCTGAAGCTACTCACGTGTGAATAGAGCTTGACTAAGTAATGACCCCGGATATGTACATGCACTATAGAAGTGTATGTAGAAGCACATGAACTTCTAGGAGAATAAATTTTCTATTGCAAAAAGACATCCTGTCTCACTCTTTGTTTTTCCAATCGTCAACCTAGGAAAACGCAAGTTCATATTTTGCACTCGTGAATATTCGGTCAATGTTTGATTCAAGTAAATGTTTGTTTGTTTTTTGGACAGAATCTGAAAGTACACGTAATATGTGGGGTTGGTGTAAAACTGCAATGTATAACCAAGGTTTACTAATGCATTATTTCTATGGGGATTTTGCAGGGACCAAACCGAAATGCGTAATCAAAGTACCACTGCAATTAACAATGCTAATACGAGACTGCTCTGCATGTCTTGTGCATTGTTTTCTTACATTGAAGCTACCTACAAAATGAGAGTTTTGTATGTTCTATGCTGACATGAGACTGAACTACTACCATGCAAAGGTCTTGATAGGCTAATTCAAACTTTTGCCACAGCATTTTGACTGGAGACCCTGAACAACTTTATTTCAATATGGAAACATTGAAATTATATCAAACATGAGTGCGTGAAGCCGACACAGCCAACAGTTTTGACCTCATGTTTTGCAGCGGCAAACGCAGCGGGCTATCGTCAAGTGGATGCGACACCTCAGACAGTACACGGAGTCAGCTGCATTTATTTCATGTCTTCACACACAGCAACAAGATAGTTTCAGCATTTGAGTCTATGTCTATCCTTTGCGTCTGTTTCATTGCTGTTCTCGATGCAAGCTGCCATAAGCTGCCACGAACCAACTTACCCACCGTCACATCCTAAGCAAAGGTCTCTCACCTGAATCTCCTCCATGGTGTGGACAATGAACATGTCGACGAGGTCTTCGCGTGCCCCGTCCAGCCAGTTGTTGAAGGGTGCCACCCTCTTGGCAAACTCCAGGTGGAGGTGGTCAATCTTCTCGAGCACTCGTTCGGCCTCCTCGAGGGCACTGCGTCGCTTCTGTGTCAGCGTGCCCAGCCGGTCCCACTGGTCACAGATGCGCTGGCAGCGTGCGTTCACCGTTGCCGCGTCATGGTAGCCCAGGGCATTCAATTCCTGCAATTTTCATGCAGGCAGAAAGTGCGAAGTTTCTCAGTCAGCTCAATGCAACAAAACAAGCAGTTCGGCTACAGACGCTTTTAGAAACATGAACTTTCCATGACATTTCTGTGTGCCCTACCACGACGAAGGCCGAGATGGGTGAAGATGGTCCAGAGGGGCTCATCATTGAGGTTATTCAGCAACAACTAGTGCCACCTCTCTAACTGCTGGCGAGTGGAGCAATAACAAGTCTTCAATACTTAATTCTGTTGCATCATACAGTAATTATTACTTGTGCACACTGCTCTCCAAATGCTTAACTTCTAAAGTTCGGTACCTCCTGCCAAGAGAGTGCTTATGGATAATGTCTGATGCACCAGACCATGTCGACACGCTTTCAAAACAATAGCATGCCTCGACAGCATGCAAGCTTTCCGCAGTTAAAGCCATAGTTTTCTGTCCTCAGCTGATATTGACAGATCACTGAACAAACAAACTAAAGTTTGATGAATTGCAAGCATCGCTTTCCGAGACAATGATTTTCTAGAGCCTGGAGCCCATCATCTAAAGGGGCTCCCATGCGTACTCTACCATGCCCAAATTTTAAAGCCTTGAAAGCCACGGACCGTCTGGATGAAGGTACTCGTTCCCTTTTTCACAAGTCATTTACCTGCGCGATGGCGGCGATCTGCTCGACGCGGTCCTGGTGAGCGGCGAGGTCGCTCTCAAAGGCCTCGTGCTTCTTCTTGAGGGCCTTGACCTCGTTGAGGCGGCACTGGCGGAAGTCCTGGCTCTGCAGCATCTCCTCCTTGCCGCGCGTCCACTCCTCGTGGATGTCCGCCTTGTGCTTGAACTTCTGAGCCAGATGGTCGAGGCGCTCCAGTCTGCGGGACCAGACGTTAATGAAATCATCTCAAACGCGTTGGAATGAGCTTCAAGAGATGCAGGAACGTGAACACATGGTATTTGCTTACAGAGTGAGCGAAATAAATGAAATAAATAAAGATAAACTTTCAGTCAAGATATAAGCGCACTTTTTGTTGTCCTTTGCTAGTACTTACAGTCAAACCTCAACATAAGTACAGATACGATGAATTATTAGTAACAAAGCAGTAAGTGATAAACAGTCACGTACTTAACAGTGCTTCAAATGTACGTATTAGAAGACCTGTGCCAACAGAGGGAAACCACCACACTGCTCACTGGTTGTCTTTTTCGAGTTCTGAACTCTCGCATACTCTCAGTAAAGAGAAATCTGTTAAACAAAACTGCTACCTAAATGGAACAACTGCCTCTGACAAGATTGGTTTCGTACTTGAATTCTACACCTCCGCTAATTTCCCCCTACACGGAACTGCTGGTTGAACATAAAATAGTTTTCTGTTCCCTTCAGACTCTGTTTAAATGCAAGTACACGGAAGGCAGGGTAACGCAGCCCACTGACCGCATCATCTCAGACAGAAGCCACTCCTCGAATCCCTTCTCGGCAGTCTCGAGGCCCTTCCAGGCGCTGGCGATGTCCGAAACCATCTTGCCCTCGGATGGCAGGTAGGCCGGTCGGTTGCTCAGCCGCAGCTTGGTCTGCAGCGTGTTGAAGTTGGTCTCCAGCTTGGCCTTCTGCTCCACCCGCGGAGGCTTGTGCGTGCGCCGGTAGGCGCGGAACTCCTCCAGCTTCTTCTGCACGCCCGGCAGCGTATTGTCCGTCGTGCGGTTCTCCAGCCACGGCGTGGTTCGTCGGATCCAGTCCAGAAGCTGCGTTCCACCGGTGTTTTAGTAAAGGACACTATAGCAAAACACTACGTCGATTTAGTTTTATCAAGTATAGCCTGAAAATCCTTTTGTTAATTGTTCTGCGATCACACATTCGTTCTTAGAACAGAAGAAAAGAACTGAAGGTCAAATTTTCAAGTTTATCCCTAAACCTTGGCACCCTGAATTTCAATGTAATGTGATAGAAAGTGACATTTTGCATCCTGGCCAAAAAATTTCCAGAATCTAGCTAAGTAAAGCCTCCAACTCACTTGGAACACAATGCAATTCATTTTTACCAATGAAAAATTCCATACACCTAAACAGAGGCCACCAAAGTTCATGATACCATGACACAGCGATATAAAACAGCAAACGTGCTGGCGCCACCTGTATTTTCTTTGCAGATTTTCTTATTTGCCAAAACATCTACCGATGGAAAGGATTATGCTTTCGGCATGATGTAAGGGGAAAATTTATTTTCTCTTTAGTGTCGCCTTGAAATCACTCATATTGTCGCGGGTTATAAATTGCAGGGGGTTTATTTAAAAACACGGACAGTGGAACTTGTAGAGATGCTCTCAGAGAAGGCCGCTAAGATTGTCGTCTTCTTCACTCGCCTGCGCTGCGCCTCTCGAGCAAATCTGCGTTCTTCGTTGTCGTCGCTGTCTCGCCGCTAAATGCAGGTATGCACGCGGCAATATCATAAACCCCCCGATACGAACTAAAGAGGTTTTGACTCACATCACTGGCTAGTCGCTCATACTCCTCCATGAGCCGCTCGTTCTCCTGGTTCACCTTGAGCACCTTACAGATGCGGTTTGCTGCGGTCTCAGCCTGAAAGCAAAACGACAGATTAGTCATAAACTTCAATCTGTATAAAGCTGTCGCTATCGTAATGTTTGCCCCATCTAGGTAGTTATCTGCTCGAAGAGGTTTATGGTGCAACCTCGTAGGCCCCTGCACCTTCCTTAACAAGAATGGTCAAGTAACTCTCGAGGAGCTTTATCCTATCCTCACTGAGAAACAAGATATGCCAGGATATGAGAATATGAAAAAGTAAGTCGGGAACATTTAACCCTACTTCCCCTTTTTTTTCTTCCACAGCAATCCATCTGCGTTTTCTTCGTAGTCATGCGCTACGTACAAGTGAATGACATTTCCCTATCACTTATCCTTTAGGTTAGCCTTTAAGGTGTATAAATAACAATGAGTGAAATGGGAGTGGAAACTTCAAAAAAAAAAAAGATGGAGAAAAGAACAAAACAAGAAACAGCCAGCCCTGAAACTTCGGATGATACGCACTCCATATTATTTTATTTATTTATCACATACTGCGGACCAAGTATGGTCCATGCAGGAGAGGGCAATACAGTACAAAATTCTTCTACATACATACACTTCCGCTGCAGTATACATTCACTGCAGAACAAAATTCATGTACATTAAAAACTCGTGAAAAACAAGGGACAAATACAGGCAAAGAAGCAGACTTAAGCAACAAAAAAAGGGTATAGTTTCATCTCGGCGTGTTGAGCATAGGGGAATCATGGGGCAGAGCATTCCAATCAGAGACAGTTCTCGGGAAAAATGAATACTTGTAAATGTTAGTGCGTGCAAATATAGGTGTAATGCTACGACTATGTTTATGACGTGAAGACCTGGTTGTGTCCCTGTGTTATGTAATCTGGTGCGTGCAATCCTGATCTGGAAAAGTATAAAAGGCGGAAAAAGTTAAGCCGTGCAGTTTTCCTTCGATCGGCCAAAAGTTGGAGGTTCGCATCCTGCAACAGGGCTGACGGCGAATCGCGACATCTATACCGGTTGTATATAAATCGAGCAGCTAATCGTTGTATTTTTTCTATTTTCTGTATATTACCAGCTGTGTGGGGGTCCCGCACAATGCTGGCATATTCAAGAGAAGGACGAACTATGACTTTATAGGCTCTAAGTTTTAGTGAACTAGAAGAACGACCCAATTTATATTTTAGAAAGCCTAATTTTCTCCTGGCAGCAGAACATATATCATCAATATGTGCTGTCCAGGTAAGCTTCAATGTAATCGTTACGCCCAAGTACTTGAATTCTTCTACTTGCCTGATAGCGTATTCACCTACATTATAAGTAAACTCCAGTTTTCGGATTTTGTTACTCAGACATAAATATACAGTTTTCTCAAAATTAATTACCATTTCCCACTTTTTACACCATTCTTTTATGTAGATTAAGTTCTCACACAAGTCATGCTGGTCAGAAATAGAATTTATGGTATTAAAAATTATGCAATCATCTGCAAATAACTTAACAGACACGCCAGGTCGGATGGCTTGAACTAAATCGTTAATATAAATATTAAACAGTATAGGCCCGAGAACTGACCCTTGCGGGACTCCAGATAACACCCCCAAATACCCAGAGGTGAAACCGTTTATATCTACGTACTGTTTTCTGTTCGTTAAGTATGCTATGATCCAGTTAATTATTTCCGGAGGAATGCCAATAACCTTCATCTTATCTATTAGCTTGATATGCGGGACCTTGTCAATGGCCTTGGAAAAGTCCATAAAGATGACATCAACCTGTCCAGACTTGTCCAGAACTTTGGAGAACTCGTTAACAGTTGCTAATAATTGTGTGGTGGTAGATAATCCCCGTCGGAAGCCATGTTGCGCGCTGTGAATTACTTTATTTTGTTCAAGAAAAGTATTTAATATTTCGCTATAATATGTTCAAGTAATTTGCAACAAATACAGGTAAGGGAGATTGGTCGATAATTACTGACTAATAATCTGTTACCTTTCTTAAATACTGGAATTACACATGCTAGCAGCCAATCGTCGGGCACTGAACTAGTTTTAATCGAAACATCAAATATTATTACTAGGAATCTAGCTATAATTTCAGCATACCTCTTTAGAAAAACAGCTGGGATACCGTCAGGGCCGGTCGATTTTTTTACGTCTAGCCGCAATAATAGTTCTGTCACCCCTTCCAAGGATATATTTATTAGGCTTGAAGGACCTGGCACCGTCATAATACTCAAGTTTTGTGGTCTTGAGAAAACGCTCTGAAAGTAGGAATTAAATGCGTTTGCTATTTCGTTTTTATTTGTGACAGTGGTTTCTCCGTTCATTATTTCATCAGGGGTACGGTTGTCTTTGTTTTGCAAGAACTGGTAAAATTTTCGTGGACTCTCTGCCGCAAAGCGGCCTAGTGTCTCGGTGTAATAATGTTCCCTAGCCTCCTTCAACTTGGATGCTAAAGTATCTCTTAGATCGTGCAGAACTACATCATTAGCTATTTTTTGCTTTCTACGCCTTTTAACTTTGCGTTTTAGGTGAAATCACGAATAGCGTACGGAGCTATTCGTGAGATATGAAATCACGAATAGCGTACGGAGCTGTAAGACATTTGAAAAGCATATTGATTTAGTGACATGCGGATAGTACACCATAATGAAAACATACGGGCAGAATACGGAGTGTTAAAGTACACACTACCTTTTTAAGTAGTCACCCTTCACTTTCAATGTAAGTAATGCCTGTGCTATGAAGGTCTTCTCCTTTTTATTTTGATATTTAGGAGCAACCCACGAAGTACGGCATAAAGAATACAACCACGTCATGAAATCGAAGAGCAATTGCTGCAATAAAAAAAAAAGACATCTTTTCGGCATGGACTTGAAAAGCTTGATATAATCAAAAATAGCACACTGATCAAAAATGCTGACACTACTGGTTGAAAACCTAGGACATTAACAGATACTACACAGTGCCGTGTTAATTGACCATGACGTAACAATTAAATCAATCACGCATACTTCAGAGTTACTGCATCATATTTTGTGCTTCTGGCTGCACTTCATCACATTTAAAACTCTTCAGGCTGTACCAAAGTAAGTTTTTAAAGTACCTGCTTATCCAGTATGTATGGTCACCATAAGCAAATCTCAACAACCAAGGTTCGATCTTGGAACGTCAAAACATTTCGTGCAGGCAATCAAGGGCATGCTGCCAAACTAAATGCAGGAAGACTACGAGGGACATGCAATGGCGTGCCAATGTAGCGAGCTCAGTCGGAGAGACCTTGTCTGAAGAGTAGCATTTGTTGCAAATTTCTTTCATGTGTATTGCGCAGGTTCCCAACCACATCTCCATGTCTACCATCTAGATGGCACTACGCTTCTTTAACCATTGAAACACCCTTATGCTCACATGAGTGTACAGTGATGCAACATGGTTGCAAAAAAAATTAAATGCCATTTGAAGCCCCTCTGATTGAAAGTTACCAACTAAACCAGATCGGATGGCAAGTGATGTGGCGTTTTGTGAACTGTGTGTGCTTACCTGAAAGTTTTTTTCTTGCCTAGATCCTAAGAAATAGATCAAATTTCACCATAGCCAATGTGCCGACAGCCAATTTGTGAAACTCTTTATAACGGTTTGTCAGGCATCAAGCTGCCTGACAAGGCAGCAGGCAGCTCATGCCATTTTAATAGCTAGAAACTTCTGATTGCCCATTCTGAGTGTTTGCAACTCTGCGGGCTACCATTCATCAGTGCGTACCTAACATCAGTAGTGCCACCACATGTCGCTACCATAATTTTCTCACGTACATCAGTGACATCAGTGACATCGGAAATGTCTTTACCTGCTGAGCTCCGGCAAAGGTGTGGTAGTAGGACGACACGTAGGTCATGATGGCCCGCTCGTCGGGCATGGCCGTGCTGTTCATGTCTGCCCACGCACGCGCACAGCACACCAGGCAGCGAGGGGCAAAATTGGGGCATCGGTAGGGTTTCGGAGGAGCGGGGAAAGAAAAACAAATGGAACCAACAAGCACCACGCAATTAGTTTGGGGCAGGAGCACATGCACATAGAACTAAGCATCAGGCACTTCCACACCCACGTTTCTGGAAGACCAAGACTGTACGAGACTACCAAGTTTTAAAATTCAAAAGCCTACGAACATGTTACGTTCGAACATGTTAAAATTTGTGTTTTTAAGCCTTTTTCTCGTGCAAACAAGGTGTTGACTCGGGCTAGTTGGCATTACATGGTATGCACGAAAGTTCAGATCACGATATGGCCATATGGAATAGTCATGAAATGGGAATACCCGTATAAACACAACACAAGCATACCTGTGTCCAATTTCATCCTGTGCATATAACCACAATGTGTGGACTTGTGCTGACTGTGCAATGCTTCACCCTTGCAAGTACAATGAAATAACTAGAAAAATGTAATAATTAATCATTTCAACAGAAGGCTTTTTAATTCTTCACTATCTGAAAGTTTGACGAAAGCATGCCTGATCGGAATGCTCATGGTGAAAGGTAAATAGGAATATGCCAAGCAAATATAAAAAGAACCTTAGAATAATCATGGCCTCTGTACGGTAGCGGAAACATCATTTATCTGAAAGTTATCTTTGTATTTAGACAATCCATTACATTCACTTTTGAATAGCTCCCCTTCTCTGTCATATGGTATTTCATCGATGACTCGACAATTCCTGGAATACCATCCATAACGAAATTAAACACACGCACGCCAAACAGGAGGTTATCAGTAAAACGCAGCACACAAAGGAGGGTAAGTCCTGTGCAACAATACCATAAAAACCTCAGGCACTGGTAGACGGGGAAGGTTTTTAATTATGTCAAACCAAGACTCATCAGTTAGTCGTTAAAGTGGGAAAAAAATGGGGTACGGAGAAGTTGCGGTCTGATCAAGCCTGCACTCTCACACTGCACTGCAAACCTTGCACGCCACACACTCACTGCCATTTCCATTACCTGCTGCGCCCCCTGGAAGGCGTGGTAGTAACATGACACGTATGTCATCACAGCCCTTTCGTCTGGCTTGGCTGTGTACACCATGTCTGGAGGGGGGTGCGAGGGAATGGATGCAGAGTCACCTCACACCGTCTTTACACCACAAGGTTACACATTACAATATGGCAACTTCGCAAGTGTTTCAACTGCTGATGACGCAATGTGTCCTGTTACTCGTGATGCGACATGGGCAACATGGCACAGTACCATGTTGCCCGTGACGCGCAACACGACAGTGTGCTTCTCAGACAAAAGGCAATGTGTCCACCACCTTCTTGTTTGAATTAAGAGCAGAGCCCACTGTACACTAAATTTATTAATAGCTGCAAATCAAGATATGGCAAGTCCTGTGATGCATGCTGCAATATCAGTGCATTCACTAACCATCAAAACGATCAACACGGTCAGATTCGCTTAATGAATTGTTCAGCCTGGCAGCCCTCGTCTTATAGCTTGCCCCAAACGACGCGTTACGAAACAATTTTCAAAGAAAGCACTTCTAGTATGGCTGCAATACGATGAAAGGCAACAAACGAAAACAGACACTTTCATTCAAATGATACCACCTGACCAGCATATAAGCTAATGTACAATGCTAAGTAAATAAACCTCAATGAATGTGGTTTTGATGCCATAGCTGGTAGTACTTCCATGTCCCTTGTAATAAGTCACAAGCTCAGCTAGGATATGGCAACAGCGTGCCAGAGAGTAAGGAAACGGCATTAACAAAAAATTAAAAAGGCGCCGAACACTTCCGTCACTAAAATAGCTATTGTTCACTGCTACGCAGCCCTTACCTATATGAACGAACCTTAGTTAGATCAAGGTACGTTAAGTGCCAGTTTCATTTTAATAAATATGTTTCCTTGATAAAGAAGCAGCCTGTTCTTACCTTCAGCGTCCAACATCCTGGGAATGTTCAGGTGCTTCTCAGCAACGTCGAAAGCCAAGTTCAGGTTGTCCAACGGGTTCTCCTGCACAAGTGAGGAGACGTGCCGATAATCTTGAAGCTTCACCCATCTCCAAAAGCAGTGGGACACACTTTAACACAGCTAAAATGTTTAACTTTTCATACATGACATTGATACTAAACAGCACAGGGTGAGCCGAGACACAAGAGAAACACACAATGACAACAAAAGGTGCCAACTTCCAAGATGTTTGAAATTGGCACCTGATGTCCCTTCACTGTGTTGTTCTCGTCTCTCTTTTTGCCTTGCGCTATTAGGTACGAAGTGAAATCGGTAGCTCTCATAAAGCAGGGATAATGCAGATGGCAATGGACTGACCTTCTTCAGCTTTCCGTAGTCAAGGAGGTCGGGACGATGTCTGTGGATGAGGGCGCAGAAAGCCAAACCATCCTTCCAGCTGCAATGGGAAACACAGGAACTGTCTTAGGCTTGGCGCTGTGTAATGTTTGTCATGCTATAACAGGTCAAGAGAAACTAAGTATGACACATGATCAGGGCACCATCTTGATACCCCATAAATAATCCAACCATTGTCCTATAGCCATACTGCAGAAGAACGGTTCCTGCAAACCCCATTTTAGCAACCTTTCCCTCTGGCTCTCCTTATCTACTTAAAAACAATGTAAATCAATGATGAAAGTAATGAAGCGTTATATAGATGTGATGAGCATTTCTTACCTGAGATGGAAGTTCTGGACGTTGACGTTCTTGTAGGGGGCCGTCTTTCTCTGGCACCACAACAGCAGACCTTCTTTGGCAGTCATCTCTGCACAGACGAGGCAATGATGAGCGAGAGAGAAAAAAAGAGAACTGTTAGCAAGAAAGACCTTCAGGCATAGCTTAAGTTAATACTCGATTAATGCATTGCAGCACTTCTCACCTCCGTTCAGTGGCCTTAATGCAACGGCAATTTATTTTAGATATGTATACCATTATTTCATTAAGCTAAAAACTTGCATGCAAAATGCTGAAACTGAATACGAATGGCACACTTATGTGCTCGAAACTTCTGTCCAAGCAAGCTCAAGCATTCTTCAATCCAAGTGCGCTTGCACCTATCCAGGTCGCCCAGCAGCCAACTTGTGACAAAATTGCAATTAAAATGAGATTCCATTTCGAAGGTTCGTCGGTTGAAGCACAATGCTCTTATGAGGCAACTGCAGATTCATTCTGAGCACACCAGATTTCACAAAACACTCTTAAATTTATACGCACGTCTGTTCTTCCATTCGGCTTTCAATATAGCCCAGTCTAGATGGACCTCATGAGCTCAATCGGCAGCATGGCACAGCATTTCACACTTTGTCATGGCTTCCGAGATACGCAGACCCTCGTCACTGATCTCGGAGGCCATACGCATATACACGTACCGTATTTACACAATTGTAAGTCGGCTCGAATGTAGGTCGAGCCCCGAAAATGGCACGGCATAAAAAAAGAGAGGAGCACGAGCACATTTTCTTTAAAAAATGTTTTTTTTTTTTTTGGCACATCGTGAAGCCATCGATGTGCGAAGGCGGCTTCACGGCAGTACTTCAAAGCTGTGCAGAAAAGCTAGCTTTGAAAATAACCTCCGCCCATTCCCTCAGAGAGACTTAACAACCGCAGTTCGTTTTCGATTATAGGTCAACCCCCCAACTTCGGATTTCAAATTACATCAAAATGGGTCGAACTACAATCGTGTAAACACACGCACGCACCTTCGACGGAGATGTCCTGGATGGCGAAGCGGAGGATGATGGTCCAGATGAGTCCGAGGGTCATCTTGACGTTGCCGTCGACAATCTCCTCGGCGCCGATGGAGACGAGCTTGACGCCCTTGGAGGCGATGAAGTCCAGCGCCTTGTTGACGTTGGCGATCTTGTGGAAGCGCATCTTGCCCCGGTCGGGCTTGGGCAGCGTCTCGCCCGAGATCACCTCCAGCAGCAGCATCAGCTTCAGGCCATTGCGGAAGTCCTCCTCAATGTTGTCGATCTGGGTGCCCGCCTTGCGCAGGTGAGAGTTGCACCACGCCGTGAAAGGTCTGCGAGGAACAAACAATGAGGTACAAGGTGGTTACAGTACGTTCGAACAAGGATTCGGTGCGCCGGCAGAAAATGCATGCCCTTAGTCGGAAAGGGGGGGTAGGGGGTAGATAGCAACTCAGAGTCACTTAAACACGCTGGCAAAGTCAGATTTTTGTTTTACTCAACTCTCATCAGCATACCAGGGATGTTCCATCATGGTAAGATTTGCCCCCAAAATGAAACAACAAAAGAGACACAGTAAATTAAAACGGGAAATTCGTAAAATAAGTAACGAAAAAAATGAGTCCGAAGGTGCTTTCCTAAAAATTCAAAGTGGAATAAAGTTAGAAAAGGTTGGTATTTAATACTGCCGCAGCCAAGAAGGGGGCGGAAATTAAGTCTCTACCCCTTACGAAAATCTTCAATTTCGCGTGTGTATTATACAGCCACACACATAAATGCACACACGAACATTCACAAAAAAAAAAAAAATTGACCCCTCCCATCTTCATCATCCCGAAAAAGGAGGCGGGATGGGTTGCATGGGGTCCCGCCGGTCAGCGGAGTGTAATCGCAAGCAACGCATTCCGGGCGCATCGCTGGCGTTAGCGCATTCAATTTCGCGACGACGCCCGCGTCTCCACCGTCTTTATTCTTCCCGCAAAATACAGATCTCGACCCCAATTACAGTGTGTAACAGGTGCAGAGTACATAGACGTCGGCCGGACCTTGTCTTGGATGGTCTCTTTTCTCCTCTTTATCCCTTCCCCAGTGCAGGGTAGCAAACCGGATGTGCGTCTGTTTAACCTCCCTGCCTTTTCTTGCATCTTTATCTCTCTCTCTCTGTCTTGAATGGTGCAAACCCGTATTGCATCATGGCGGGAGAGGGAGGCACTAGTACGTAGCTTTTTAGGAGGGCGGGGGGCGGCAGAGTGCTGGTATAGCTTGACGGGGGCAAGTGTCCCTTATGCAGCCCCCTTTCGACGCCCAGTATGCACTGACGCCGGTCAACGCGCAACTCCTCAAAATAGGCCGCAGATACGCAGCTCCTGTCGGATGCTAGAGTAAAACGATGAATCGGTTTATATCGATGAACTGTATTCCGATAACTCTAGCGACACTAATTTTCTTCGCCAAAGATTCATTATTAGAGAATAGAACCAAGGTCAAAGTCTCATTTAACTTTCGCGCCGGAATCTACACGCGTGACGTCATGGGTGTCAGAGAGCATCTCGCACTTTGGCCGCATTGATCGGACGAAACTTCCTGAAAATTTGTATGTTATGCATCTGGCTCCCTCGGCAGACGATCCACTCCATTTACGGCGACTAGTGCGGGAACTTTCATGTGGCATCGACACTCTAATTTCAAATGCGAATGCGTCGGCTATGTCAGGCGTACGGCGGCGTCCACGGGCCGGCAGGTGTTATCTCTTCGCTTTCACTCCCTCTCCCCTAGCAACCATCGACACACTAATATCAAATGCGAAAGCTTCGGGCTATGTCAGGTGTACGGCGGCGTCCGCAGGCCGGCAGGTGTTATCTCTTCGCATTCACTCCCTCTCCCCTAGCAACGGAAGCAGGTGGTGCGAGGGGAGCAGCAGAGAGTGAGTGGAGAGGAGGAGTGCGCTGTGTCATGTCAGGGCGCTCGCAACACGGGAGCTCGGCGGAGCTCCCACGTATGTGGAGGCAGTGTGGGAGAGGGTAGATGCAGTGCTTCGCCGCTCTCCTTCTCTCGCTATTCGCCTCTCTCTTCTCTGCGCCCCGTTCTCCCGTCCGTTCACTCGTATGCATTTATAAATGGAGCGAAGCGCGCGCCTCACTCTCGACCGTTCGCTGGCTGATGAAAGGGTAAATAAATGGTTATACGGGACAAATGCTCGTCTCGTCGTTAGTTTACGCCATTAAAATTACTACGCCGTGTACTCTCGGCGCAAGAAACGGATTCACATTTCCTTACGATTCCCCTCGGAGAGGCGGGGGCAAATGGTTTTTTTCGCAGCTTTTTCTCGCTTACTAAGGGTCTCCTCACGGTAAGAATGGTGGTCTTGGTATTGTGGCAGAGTTAACTCACGGCGCTTATGTTTCGCGTTCCTCTCTTGTGCCTAACCTTGCGGTGCCGTTTAAGTAGTAAGTCACCGTCAGGGGAGTAGCCAGATTTTTTTTTTTCGGAGTGGGGGGAGGGGGAGGTACCTCCTTGATTTCGGGAAGAACATACTCTTGAGATGGTAATTTTTCGCTCACAATGTCATGGCGAAAAAAATTCGAATAGTGGAGGGGGGGGGGGGGGCACGGGCCTGGTGTGCCACCCCCTGGCTGCGATTTTGACCCACGAATTTAGAAACTTCACACCGACTTCAATGCAGCGCGTTTGAAACGCATTTGTGCTGCCTTGAAACCGCTTAAGAACGGAGTTCTAAACGCGCTTGTGCTGCATTGAAGGCGGTGGCAAGTCAGGTTCAAGTCAAGCCAAGGAGCGTTTCTGAATACGGGAGTAATTTACTTATATGAGAAAAAAAAAGGTTAATGCTGCGTTCAGAGAGAAACAAGAAAGACAGCCCAGTGTACACGAAGCTGTCGTGAATGAACTTTTCGTCTGTCATCTAGAGCTACAGGTAATCTGTCAAAAAAATAATAGCACAGTGCAGTGTTGTCCCTTACAAAAACTGCGGAAGTTCGACAGACGAGCGTGTTACCTAAATATACGACGCAGCACGCGAGAACCTTTCTTCAAGAACACAGGCACTGAAGTGCGATCGGTCAGAGAAGTGGACAGCACTGACAGCCGATGAGCGATGTAGAGATTCATTGTTAGGGACCTGCTACGACACGGGCAGTGCAGAGAATGCGAAAAAAAAATGGCAAGGTTGTCACATTTGTGTTAAACAATGGGACGGCTTAGCGTGCGTTCGGCGCTCTTTTCGACGCCAGAGCGAGGCATTTTGAACAATGTTTCCGAGAAACTGAGTGATACGTGCACGTGCAGAGGACCATTTAGGAAGATTTAGCATCTACGTATACTCTTAAGCATTACCGTATTACCGGAATACCGTATTTCGTTTACCATGTTACGGAACGCGTGTTTCAACAAAAACGTTTTTAAGAAAAAGCGATAGCACGTGTGGAGTGAGAATTTATTAGAAGGCAGAGAGGTCGGCCTGAGCTAGTTCGCTCTAGCCTGCTACTCTACACAGGGGATAAGGGAAAGGGGAAGGAAAGAGGGATGAAGGGTCCAGAGATAGCACAGTAAACGTAAAGCCTATACGGTGAATAGCTTACGTTCCACAAAGGCCCGCACATGAGCGCATATCTTCCGGTATACGGTAACGTAAAAAAGTATATAGGTACAACCTAATACCTCTTCATACTCGCCTATGCGAGTTGTAGCCTCTCATGATCCATTACTAACCAGTCCACTAAGCCGTCTTCGCGAGCATACAATTTAGACTAGATGAAAACTGAAGGTGCACAGCAGGCGTAATGCATTGCGTTGAAAAGCACCACATCACCACCGCGATTAACTTCTTGGTGTCAATAACATGAAAAAAAATATATGTAAAGAAAGATACAGTACATCCCAGCCATACGGGTCCATTGTATAGGTTGCTTATATATATATATATATATATATATATATATATATATATATATATATATATATATATATATATATATATATATATATATATATATATATATATATATAGGGAAAGAGGTGTATACCTAAGGGCTCGTTTTTCCGTGTTTTGCCTCAATATTACTGAGATCTAACAGACAATAATGCCAAGGATTGTATAGGAAAAGTTATTAGAACCAATGTAATGTAAATAAGAAGAAAGAAAAGCGGGTGAAGAAATAACTTGCCGTGAGCACGAATTTGTTCACCCACTTCTCTTTCTTCTTATTTACATTACACTGGTTCTAATAACTTCCCCGATACATTCCTTGGCATTATTGTCTGTTAGATCTCATATATAGAAGCCCTAAATTTCGCGAGCTACAATAAAGACTAAACGTCAAAAAAAAAAAAAAAAGCGGGACAAACTGCCAAGAACAGCGTGTCCCGGTGGCCCGATAAGCCTCCCCCTCGGCCCCCGCGCGCAAAGCAGAGCAGTTGCGAAAGGGCCGCATTTTCAGAGCGCGAATTGTTTTCGCTAGCATTCTTCACAGCAAAACTTGTCAGCAGATGCTCTAGCTGGCAGGCATCGTCGTCGTGCCCCTCCAAAGCCCCAGGGAGCGCAAAAATTTCGGCAGTGCAGAATTCCCTGCCAAGAAGGTCGAGGTGAAAAAAAAGATGGGGGAGGGAGAGAGGGCTTGGCCTCAGAGCACCCGGCCAGGCAAGCTGTTGCCAGTTCATCGCCGCGGAGGGGAGAAGACGCCGTGCATGTTGACGCAACACTATTCTGGTGGCGACCTCCATGCATCCAGCGCACGCTTGCCGACAAGCGCACCCCTCCCTCCCCCAAACACCCCGCAAATGAAAACGGGGCATTCTAGCGCGCGTAAGTGTGACGAAAGGTTAGGCGGGCAGCGCCGCCAGTGTGTGACTTCTGTTCTCCCCATGCGGAGCAGGCGAAGTTAATAACGTCCGTCTTTGCCGAGCAGAAGCACAGCAGACGACACTTGGATTCGGTATCTGCGGAACACAAAAACCGTTAACTCCCATCTTTGCAGAGCAAAGGCTGAACAGACGACAACAACTTCTGTTTCTGCTACAACAGACGCCGTTAACTACACGGTCTTTGCAGAGCAGAAACAGTGCAGACGACGTTAGCATCACTTCACTTTTTAAAGAGTTGATCACAATGCCTCAACATCCATTACATCGCTTCGCGGACGACATCAGCTCCCGTCTTTGCAGAGCCCCGCCACGGAGGTCTATATAGTGGCTAAGGTCGGCTGCTGACCCGCAGGTCGTGGGATCGAATCCCGATTGCGGCGGCTGCATTTTCGATAGAGGCGAAAACGCTGTAGGCCCAATGTGCTCAGATTTGGGTGCACGTTAAAGAACCACAGGT